TTTACTATCTTACAATCAATCCTTACAAACCTCCCTATCTATTACCTCTCCCTTTTCAAGCTACCTGGAAAGGCTGCGGATCGTCTTAGTAAAATATTCAGAGATTTCTTGTGGGAGGGATCAAACTCAAATGGCAAGCCCCATCTTATTAATTGGACCTGCACCCAACTACCGCTACACGAAGGAGGCCTTGGCGTTGGTAACATCAACCATAGGAACCGAGCTTTATTATCTAAATGGATTTGGAGATTCATTACAGAGCCAAACCACCTATGGAGGAGACTCATAGCAGCCAAATACAATGGCTCACTCTCTGTTACCTGGCCATCCACTCGCAGAAATCGTTTTAAGGGGCCATGGACGGGAATTACTAAGCAAATCAGAATTGTCAGGACATATGCCATTTGCGAAGTGGGTGAAAGAAGCGCTCTCAGTTTTTGGCACGATACATGGCTATCACAAGGGACTCTGGACAGCCTCTATCCCAATCTCTATGCTATTTCGACCAACAAAGAAGCCACTATTTCCGAGCTTTGGTCACACACCACAGCCTCCTGGGATTACAACTTCCGCAGACCATTAAAAGACGATGAGCTCTCTGATTTGTTAGCACTCTCTCATATACTAGACTCAACCACACTTACCTCCCTTAATGACCAATGGGCATGGCCTTTGGAAACCAACAGATCTTTTTCTACAAAATCTGCCTATCGCATTCTCACCACCAACAATGATCTCACTGCCTCCACTCTATTCCCTCGAATTTGGCATGGGAGATGCCCAAGGAAAGTCAAGTTCTTCTGCTGGGAACTTAGTCATGGGGCGATCAATAGCCATGACAGACTACAGAAAAAGCTCCCCCACATCACCCTATCCCCAAACTGTTGCCTTATATGTTTTAAAGCTACAGAAACACAGGGTCACCTATTCACACAATGTGATTTCGCTTATCAATTTTGGAGCCAACTACTCGTAGCTTTTGGATGGGAAACTCCCCTACACACAAATCCTATCTTTCTTGACCAGATATTGGTGGGGCACCCATTTAAGAGAAGAAAACTGACTCTATGGATACAGTTTGCTCGGGCCTTCTTTTGGAGTCTTTGGTTGGAAAGTGTTAGAGTATATATTAGTATATTTTATATTCTTGTATTAATATTAATTTGTCATTTACCTTCTCCTTATAGGATTAGGTCAACCTTGTATATTTGTCTATATATATAGACTTTAATAATGAGAATACACAACATTGAATTCTTTTCAACCTTAGTCTCTACATGGTATCAGAGCTCTAGGTTTTGTGCCCATTAGGGTTTTGTGCCCATTAAAGTTTTGTGCCCATAAGGGTTTTGTGCCCATTAGGGTTTTGTCCCTTAGGGTTTTGTTTATTGCTATCCAACTCAACTCACTACTACCGACGCTGCCACCACCGCCGCCGCCGCCGACCACCGCCGTCGCTGCTGTTTTCCAATTGCTATTCGTGGGTTTCGTCTTGCCGTCCTTCGCACCTTCGTCGCCGCCAGTCGCCGTGAGCTTCCCTCACCGCCAATCGCCTTCGCCCCTCTGGTTGTCGTGGGGTAGCACTTAGGGTTTCTAGTTTCAGAAAACACTTGATCCGGTTCAAGCGGTCCAGTCCATCCGGTTCGGTTCATCCGGTTCGAGTTTGATTCGGTCTGGTTCGTCACATTCCGGTTCGGTTTGATTGATTTATACCGGTTTTGGTTCGGTTCGTTTGTTTGAATTCAATTGGTTTGGTTCACTTGGCTCTATTCAATTGGTTTGGTTCGATTCCCTTTTCTCCTTCAGATTTGGTTTGGTCTGGTTCTGTCGTTTTGTTCAAATAAGTTTGTTTGTTTGTTATGGCTGAGAAGAAATCAATCGTAACTTCTGAGGTGATCCCAATGATATCAAAAATCACAGAACACAAGTTGAATGGAGCACGAATAGATTATTTGTCTAACAAGTTGGGCATGATTAACATATATGCACCAACTTGAGGGGGAGTGTTAGAGTATATATTAGTATATTTTATATTCTTGTATTAATATTAATTTGTCCTTTAGCTTCTCCTTATAGGATTAGGTCAACCTTGTATATTTGTCTATATATATAGACTTTAATAATGAGAATACACAACATTGGATTCTTTCCAACCTTAGTCTCTACAGAAAGGAACAACAGAGTTTTCAATGACAAGGCTCTCCCTTTTGATTTATTTTTTGATAGGGTCATAACATTAGCTCTCGGATGGTGCAAATGTTTCTACCCAATTTTTAGTAGCTATTCTCTAATGATCTTATTACAAGTTGGAAAGCTCTCTTGTAATTGCCCATGTGGCCTTTTGTATATTTCATACTATCAATGAAATATTTATTTCATATAAAAAAAAAAAAATTGCCAAGAGTCCTATTTGTTACTTCTGTCAGACCATCAGTTTGTGGATGGTTTGTAGTGCTGTATTTTGATGGTTTGTAGTGCTGTATTTTAGTGACGTGTCAAATTTTCTCCACAATGTCTTCCAAAAGTGGCTGAGAAATTTGACATCTCGATCAGAAACAATAGTCTTAGGTATGCCATGTAAGCGAACGATTTCCCTAAAGAACAAATTGGCCACATGCACAGCATTGGATGTCTTTTTACAAGCCAAAAAATGAGCCATCTTGCTGAATCTGTCTACCACTACTAACACCGAATCGAATCCTCGCTGAGTGCGGGGTAGACCTAGGACAAAGTCCATAGAGAGATCTTCCCAAATAGTTTTTGGTGTAGGTAATGGTATGTATAAGCCTGTATTCTGCTTAGTCCCTTTATTTTTTTGACAAATGAAACACTTGGACACATAGCTGAATACATCTTTCCTTAATTGTGGCGAGAAAAAATGGGTTGCTACTAAAGTAAGGGTTTTATAAAGACCAAAATGCCCAGCCAATCCCCCCGCGTGGAGATCTTTGATTAAGGCTTCTCTTAAAGAAGTGTGAGGGATGCAAAGTTGGCTACCCTTAAAAAGGAATCCATCGAGGATGTGAAACTCCCTTGTATTTTTGTCTTGCTGATATTGGGTCCAAATGGAACTAAAGTCAAGATCATCTTTATAAGTTGTAGGCATGGATGAAAAGGCTGTTATTTCACCTTGTAGGATAGTCAGTAAAGAACCCTTTCTACTAAGGGCGTCTGCGGCCTTGTATAGTGTACCATTCTTGTGCTTGATGACAAAATCAAATCGTTGTAAAAAAGAAAGTCACCGAGCATGCATTCTGCTCACGGACTTTTGTGTGTGTAGGAACTTGAGGGAGAAATGGTCGGTAAATAAGATGAATTCTTGACTTAACAAATAGTGCTCCCGTTGTTAGAGCCCGAACAAGGGCATAAAGTTCTTGTTCGTAGGTGCTCCAATTTTGGCGGGAAGTACTCAATTTCTCACTAAAATATTCAATGGGGTGTTGGTTTTGAGACAAGACTGTCCCGATGCCAATCCCAGAGGCGTCAACAGCTACTTCAAAGGGTTGGGTAAAATCGGGAAGTTTGAGTACTGGGCTCTCGGTGAGTTTGGTTTTGAGTGTAATAAAACTGGTAGTTTGTTTTTTCCCCATTGAAAACGTCCTTTTTTTAGACAGTCGGTGAGGGGGCCAGCTATAGTGCTAAAATTCCGAATAAATTTCTTGTAAAAGGATGTGATCTCAAGGAAACATTGAATTCCTTTGATAGATTGAGGTTCTGGCCAATCCGAAATAGCTTTTATTTTTTTCGGATCCATTTGTAGACCTTGGTTACTAATTATAAATCCCAAGAATGATATTTCCGAAACCAAAAAGTGGCATTCCCTGGGATATACTTCTTCGTGAGGGGTTAGAGGAACATCAGAATGTCTGCGAGGGAGAGGGAGGGATTCTTGATGAGGGAGGGGATCTTGAATCAATCTTGAAGGTGGTTGCTGTGCCTATTTCCCAATAACAATCCCTTGCTCTTGAATGTCCTTACCATTCTTCTTTCTTGGCTGTTCTTGCTGTACTTGTAGGCTATCGATCTTGTCTACCAAAACGTTCAGAATCTGTTTTATCTCTACCACATTCCGCTGTAAATTCTCTGCAGCTCCTTCAACCAACGAATGGTTGATGATCGTGGAGAGAGGGCGGCAGTAGTTTCCTCCTCTTTGTCGGCAAGTGAAGAATCTCCTCCTAATGGAGCATTCTTTCTTCCTGCCATTGAGAAAGCCCGAGGATGCTGATTGCTCTGATACCAAAATTGGTGTAATCGATTTTGAGAGAAAATTGAATTGTATTAGATGATGCTAAAAGGTACAAATGGCTCCTTATTTATAGAGGAAGCCACACAATGGAAGGGGAACGACCTAACTTACAAATACAACTAACTACCAACTAACTAACACAAAGTTAACTATTTGTTAACTACATCACATAGATATAATAAAATTTTGCTTGAGCATTTTCTTTGTAACCCTGGAGCATTCTTTTCTTCTTTCTTGTTAAAAGAAAAATATTCCTTAAGAAGTACAAAGTATATTTCTGTATTCATACTAAGTCGAACGTTTTAGAATAGAATGATTTAATGGTCTTGCATACAGTTGATATACTTTTGGGAGTTGCAGAATATTTTTGTAATTCAAACTAGGTTGAACATTTTAGAATAGAGTGAGTTGATGGTCTTGCATACAGTTGATATACTTTTGGGAGTTGCAGAACGATTCAAATCAACATCATATATTTTTTTATCTATCTAGTAGAATATCACCATCTTTGTATTTTCCCCTTCATAGATTTGTATGTATTGATTTGTTATCATTCCTTATCCTGCTTAATCCCCCAACCACCTCAACAACAGCTCACATGCCATTAAAGTGACTTGAACTGTTTCCACTTCATGAGTATTCTTTCCACTTGAAATGTATCCACCAAAAAAAAACTCAAGTATTGGTTTATTTCTTTTTATTTTTCCTCTTTCCCTATGTTTCCAAAATGACCGATATAACTTAATTTCTGCAGCTCCAGCAAGTAGTGGATTCATTCATAATATTTGCTTCCCAGGAAATGAAAACCAATACCCTCCATGTAAGTATAGAAAATACTTCATCAAACTCATCTAGTAGACCTTCTTTGCCGAACTTGCCACGGACACAATTTAGCCCTTCAAAAATACGAATTTCTCCTTTTCCAACTCGGGAATATGTTGATGATGAATTCCAGTCTATTGTCAAGAAAGTGATGGGTGTGTTGTAAGTAGCTCCTGACAGTCATTATTTTTTAAAAATTATTTATAATCTTTTTTAAGCCTGTTATGCACACATTTTTAGATTAGTTTTTGTCCAGATGTGCTTAGTCAACCTTCCTTATATTTGAGCAGGTATCTTTTGGGATTTCTTTACCCAATTTCTCGCCTTATCAGCTATTATGCATTTGAAAAGGTTCGATAATGATATTGTTTACAGTGATAATAAATCTCTTTTTATTGTTAAAAGAAGATATTGTTTACTGTGATCAGCACAAAGATCAGTTCTTATTTCATTTTTAGACATGTTTTGGTTGTTTTATAGTTCTCGTATGTTATTGATTATAATATGTGCATAGAATATTATTTCCATTAGTTATTGACTCAACCCTCTACTTTTTATGATATTATAGGAAGAGAAGATCAAAGAAGGCCTCTACATGATGGGCCTGAAAGACGGGATATTCCATATCTCTTGGTTTATTTCATATGCTGTGCAGGTAATGACGTAATGTATTCTTGGCTTTATCTCGTGTATAAGCCATGATATTGTTAATACTTTGATATCATTTTTGTGCAATAGTATTTGCATGCTTAAACTGAGAGCAACCCGTTGTTGAAGACAAAAACTCTTCTTGTGGACAAAAAAGAAAAAAGAAAAAAGAAAAAAAGAAAAAAAAGACAAAGAATCTTCTTAAGAGGAATAGCTCCCCAATTTATTGTTAGCTGGGAACTTTTCAATCATCAATAGAAGTTCTGTTTCCTTCTATAAAAAGAAGAGTAAATTCAAGAGTAAACCGTTTGTTTTCTTTTTGTTAAAGGAAGATGCACATAGATCCTAGAGATTCGGTTTCCAACAAGAATGGATATAATTACGAGTACAGCATGTACGCCCAAAAACCTTTGGGCAATAATCCACAGCCTTGTAAAATGGGCTAACTTGCTTGGAGTTGGGTGATTGAAACAAAAGTGGCTTAGAATGGAGCCAGTTGATCACCACTAACCAAATTCAGTAGAATGAAAATCTTAAGCTGTTAGGTTAGAGTGAACCTGAACTTTCCATTTTTTCTTTAATACTTGCCTTCTTTGTTCCAGCCTACCAGGATTACAATCCTTTTATCCCATGAGAAGAAAGTATTAATAGTTCGGCATATCAGCCGTAAAGGTTTATGATGAAATTCGGGAAATTGTTTCTCTTTCTTTCATACCCACAAGAGAGAATAACCTCCCTATTTTGACAAGGAAGAAAATAAACTATTCAAGGGAGATTACTCTAAATGATTGATACAAGGCTATATAAATAGCAGTCACAAAGAAGAAACTAAAAAGAAATTCTTGCCTATTAGGATAAGGAAATACTTACCTATTAGAACAATAAAACCCTAACCTAAATAAAATAGGAAACCTTTAAAATAAAATAAACTATAATTTAAAACTCCCCCTTAAGCTGGTGAATGAATATTTTCCATTCCCAGCTTGTTAACCAAATGCTCAAAGTTGTTCTTGTTCAATCCTTTTGTTAGAATATCTGCTATTTGATTGTTTGTTGGTACAAATGGAGTACATATGAGGTCGCTATCTAACTTCTCTTTTATGAAGTGTCTATCAACTTCAATATGCTTGGTTCTATCATGTTGAACTGGATTATGTGCAATACTGATGGCAGACTTGTTATCACAATAAAGTTTCATAGGCCCTTCCCATGGAATCTTCAAATCTTCTAAAATAATTTTTATCCACAGTAATTCGCAGATGCCCAATGCCATTGCTCTAAATTCCGCTTCTGAACTTGATCTTGCAACTACATTTTGTTTTTTACTTCTCCATGTCACTAAGTTCCCACCAAAGAAAGTACAATAGCCTGAAGTGGATTTTCTATCGTCTATCGATCCTGCATAATCTGCATCTGTATAAACTTCTAGATTGAGTTTCTCGCCTTTCTTAAACAACAATCCTCTCCCAATGGAGTTCTTTAAATAGTGGAGTATTCGGTACACAGCTTGAAGATGAATTTCTTTTGGACTATACATAAATTGGCTTACCACTCCTACAACATAAGCAATATCTGGTCTCGTATGAGAAAGATATATTAATTTTCCAACTAACCTTTGGTAAGTTTCCTTATTTACTGGAAGACTCTCTTCAGATGCACATAATCTATGGTTTTGATCAATCGGCGTTCCTATTGGTCTGCTGCCAAGCTTTCCTGTTTCAGAAAGTAAGTCAATCACATATTTCTGTTGTGATAAGAATATGCCTTGTTTAGAATAGGCTACTTCTATCCCAAGAAAATATTTCAGTCTTCCCAATTCTTTAACTTCAAACTCTTCGATTAAACAATTTCTCAGTTTCTCTTGCTCATTATTATCCTTGCCAGTGACGATAATATCGTCCACATAAACAATCAATGCTGTTACTCCCCCTGTAGCAGAATGTTTTATAAATAATGTATGATCTCCTTGACTTTGTTTATAGTCCATCTTCCTCATGACTTGAGAAAATCTACCAAACCATGCCCTAGGAGATTGCTTTAATCCATACAACGCCTTTTTTAATTTACAAACTTTATTTCCTGCTTGCTGATATCCAGGTGGAATTTCCATATAAATTTCTTCTTCAAGATCACCATGTAGAAAAGCATTTTTTACATCATATTGCAACATGTCCCATTCATGATTTACAGCAAGGGATAGAAGTATTCGTACTGTGTTAATCTTGGCAATAGGCGCAAAGGTTTCAAGGTAATCAACTCCATATGTTTGAGTATATCCCTTAGCAACCAACCGTGCTTTGTACCTCTCGAGTGTTCCATCTGCTTTATACTTTACAGTATATATCCATCGACATCCTACAGCTTTCTTATCTTTAGGCATAGTAACGAACTCCCATGTTTTATTTTTTTCTAAAGCTTGCATTTCAAGATTCATTGCTTGCCTCCATTCTTCATGTTGTATTGCCTCCATATATGTTTTTGGAATATTTATCTGAGTAAGGTTAACCATAAAACTTCTGTACTGACTTGAGAGTTTGTCATATGATACAAAGTGAGACAATGGATACTGAGTACAAGTCCGTTTTCCCTTTCTTGACTCATCATTAGTAGATACTATAATTTCTGATTCATCATTGATTATTTTCTCGTCAATTTCAGTTACAGGGATATGTTCAGACACTTGGACGTGCTTATCTTTTTCAGTGTTCCTTCTTGAATAAACCTGTAATGGTGTAGTAGTAGAAGGGTTAGATGGTCCTGGTAAGGTGTCTAAGGGTGGTGGTAAAGGATTTGATATAGGAAATGTGATGTTGGGAATGGGCAAATCCTTATCTTCCAATAATAGTTCCTCCCCCTGAAGATAAGGTGAGGTAAAGAAGCTGGTGTCTTCATAAAAGGTAACATCAGCAGTGATGAAGAACCTTTTTGAAGGAGGATGATAGCATTTATATCCCTTTTGAGTGTTCGAGTATCCGACAAAAATACACTTGAGTGCTCGTGGATCAAGTTTACCTCGCTGATGACCGTGAACATGAACAAAGGCTACACAACCAAATACTCGAGGAGTCAAGTTATTTGCTGTTCGAAAATCAGGATAATATTTTGATAGGATATTCATAGGAGTTCTATGGTCTAGAGTAGCAGATGGTAATCGATTGATTAAATAAGTGGATGTTAACACAGCTTCCCCCTAGAAGGATTTAGGAACATTTCTTTGAAAAAGAATG